TTAAAGCAGCAACATCTTCAACAACATCAATGCAATAAAATATGACAAAAAATAATGTCATTATGTATTAATTATATACATAACCTGTGATGTTTACAGTTTTTTTTAATATGCCTTGCCTTTATTTGTAAGATTCATCCCAGTGACTCAATGTAGGCAGTGATTTCTGGAGGGAGTGCCAGCTCTGTCACAATTTGTGTACATCGCTGAAGTAACACTGCAAGTTTATTTTCAGAGTCTAAAGTGTCAGAGGAGCCTGGACATTGGCGTGGCTGTGGTGGGACATCCGTTTGCATTTTCTCCCCTCCCTTGCAGCAGTCCGTCTCCTTGCACTGCTCTCCACAGCAGCCCCCTCCAGCCGGCATTGTTCCCAGGTCCTCCATGGCCTCAGAGATGTCACTCACACTGGACGGAGGGTTTTCTAAAGTCCTTTTGATATCCTCCAGGATTGATTCTTCATGCTGTGTCACTTGATGCAGGAGCTCGGACACAGATTGTTTTGCAGGGCTTTCTGGATGCTGGCTCTCAAACCAACACCATAACGCACTGGTGGGATGAGACACAAAGAGACAGCAATGTCACATACAATGGCAAAGAAGCCACTGGGACTAGCCACAACTGGACAAAAACAATAGCTCCAAAAACAGAAGCCTTATGATACCCATTTACATTATTAGATTTGAACAGTATGAATAGTAACCAACAGTTGGATTGAAACATTTCTAAAATAAATTAGCCATTTGAAATAAAAGTCTTACGTGACAATTCCTTTGAGCCGACCCACGACGACAGTCTGACCTGCTCCTTCCTTGAAGCCCAGGTTAAAGCCAGGCTGAAGAGAGGCTTCTTCACCTGCATCAACTCCATCCACGTAGCCATCCTGCACAGGGCCAGCCAAACACACACACGCCATCACAAATACTGTGGGATCAAATCAATAGCCAATATCAGAGTAGCACCCATGTGGCCAAGCAAACTAGGAGACTGAACGTGTTATGGCTCCTAAAAGCAACAGCAACTATAGAGAATGCAACTGTGTTAATGAAAACATTATTGGGAAAAGGATAGCATGTTTCCAATTTACGCGTGAAGTTTAGCAAAATCATCACATTTTAAACGAAGCTAGGCACAGTGGTCTGCAGTAGTAGCATGTTAGCTATTGTTACTAATCGTAATCAATAGCATTCAACAGTTTTTTGTTTTTAAATTCTACTGACTCAGCCAAAAGATATCAGAAACTCAACACTGAAGTTATGCACTTCTTTATTACTAGGCCATTCCTTTAAAAGCACGCTTAAGTTTCAAACGTCACTGGTCACAAGTTTAACTTTAAAGCACGGTAGCACAGAGACAGGACTGGGTTAGCCAAAGACGGCGTTAGCCTTACCCGGACTCTCCTCTTCATGTTGGAGGACCACTCTCTGCTCTGTAAGTGGAGCTCGTCTGCGTTCTCGTCAAAAACATCTTCCCCGCTAAAAGAAACAGATTTAAGCCACGACATCGTGCTTTCAAGTGGCAATGCTTTCAAGACACTACATGGATGTTATAGAGGTGATCAAAAGTATATGCAGTAAGCGAGCAGCGCACTCCACGAGCGCATCACCGCCATTCAGGAGCAACACAAACGTTTGGTGCTACATTAAATACACGTCATCATTCTGCGACACTTTAAATAACTTTAAAGCAAAAGTTAACATCTTAACTGATTAACAGCTATAAATATTGACAAACAAAATACAAAGCATACATTCGCGTCCAAGGATGAAGAATGAAGCATCTCTATGTGCTCTCAAATAAAATTGCTTTATTTTTCAATGAAATGTACTGTTGTACTCAAGTGGACCAGCAGATGGCGCCAACGCGTCGTTGATAAACGTCCAAGCTTCACACGATACTAATGATCATACTACCATGCTTCCCACATGGGCCTCATACAACTGTGCGAAATGAACACAAACGCCTTCAAGATTCACTTTATAGTTGTACTGCAGATTAGGTTGTTGAATGTACTGTTACAATATGTAGCAGCAGTGAAAAGCACATGGGCTAAGCAAATAATCATCTCCAGACCCAATCTACAAGGAAGAAAAATGTGGTAAGTCCTTTCAGTTTCATGTAATAAACCATGCAAATTGCCGTGTTAAAATTGTCCCACTCCTCTTAAAACTGATTGATAATTTGATTATCAATTACCAACAGATATTTAAAATCATATCCAAGGCTATAGGCTAAACCTAAAAAAAAAAAAAAAAAAATGCGCTTTTCTTCTTCTTTTTTTCGTAACACGAGTTACACATGACAAAACTAAAAGTTTTTGTATTAATTCTTTGAATATTCTATTGCCATAGGATTGGCTCACGTCTTTATAAAAGAGATACAGTATTTGAATCTGAATGCATGAGGCCCAGGCATGTTTAGGGTCACCTGATTGGTTCAGTGTGAAAAAGAATGAGCAGTGTGTTGTGTTCAGTTCAGCTGGACGCACCGGGACTGGTCAGATCACTGTCCTCAGCATCCACAGATTCTGTTTAAGTTTTCAAACCAGAAAATGTCATCCATCATGACAAACACATTATTCACTCATCAATAATACATGGCATCTCCCCTTTTCTCGCTGCTGAAACAAAAGCTTTGTTTTATTTGTAGATTTCTCATTGCTCATGCCATGCTTTATGAAAACACAGGAGAGACAAGTCGACGGCCAAATGCACTAAGCTTGCTCAGTGGAATGCATTTGCAGCTGGTGGACAGTGGCCTTGAGAACAGTGCCAGGCCACAGTGGACGTGTAGCTCAGAGCCACACCTTCAGTCCCTTTGCTCCAAGAGTCAAAACAAGCATCAAGCAGCACAATCACCTGACACATTTCCATCCAATTTCCACCACAGAATGTGTTCATTTTCGGCCTAATGGCATGTCATTTTGCTGGAGCCTTTGGTCAAGAATTAATCCTGGAATCAAAACAGATTTTCCGGGGAGCAATCTTCCATCAAGTATTGATTTTTGTACACTCACAGAGCCTGTACTCCCTAATTTAACCTGACAGCCAGCAGCACAATGGACTGGGAGCACCTTGGCATCTCAGAGGGAGCTGTGTGCTCCTTCAGCCTCTCAGTGAAGTGAGAGGGAGGCTGGGAGGGGTGAAAAAGGACTCCCACATGTATAAAACAAAGAGCATTGCTTACAGAAAACACCCCGATAAATCTTCTCGTCTCTGTTTTACCTCTAATTATGTTTTCCAGTGTAGTGCAGCCTGGGCAGGTACAAGGCTGAGAGGGAAGAGGCGAGAGTGTCCGAGCCATCAGCTATCATTATGGGCCTGTTGACATCTCCCTGTCTTTGAGTGATTCTCATCTGTGATTTCCCCTGGCCATTTTCCACAGATGCACAAAGAGGGTTTCAACAGGGCCTCCACAAAAACGAGCCAAAGTGTCTGCGCAGGCCCTCACTAATAAGAAAGCAAAGACGTGTCCGCCCCTGTCACTCCGCACCGTGCCTTCAGATATACAATCATTGTCTGTGAGCGGGCTGTAAGTACACTAAAGCATACGGGAGGTGAGCAGGTGGAGAGGATGATGGAGGCCAGGCCTGGTTATTTTCCTGCAGCTCTTAAAGCAGCGCTGACCCGTGTGCATGAGAGTTGCACTCTGCCAAAGGGGTTCACAGACCAACTACCAAACACAGGCAAACTGCTGCTTTTAACTCTCAATTACAACTCACACAACACTTGGGCCAAAGTCAGAGGAAATGTGACATTTTCATAACTTTTAAGTTTAAGACCACAAAACTCCAAACTTCAAACTACAACTACTGTGATGTAATGACCTCCAGGTGAAGCCGTGGTTTGAAAGCCCACAGGCCTCTCATCAGATGTTCACGTTTGAACCTGACTTTCATAGTGATGATTGTTTTTAATCACGAGAAAAACAGGTCACAGTCTGCACAGGAGCTGCTAAAGTGTGTAAACAATATAAAATCAAAGTGAGTAATGTGCAAATTAACAGTTTTCACAAATAAATATGGCCAAAATTAATAATATTATTATTTTTATTCAATACTTATAATTAATTGCTACTATGTTCATGCAGTATGTTATAAACATATTCAGTATAGCAAGCATATTGTGAGCATATTGTAGTGTAGAATTCTTAATCCACTGCAGTGGATGGCAAGCAATATTTTATAACCCACCCAGATGCAGAAAATGGCAATAAAATATTGAATTTCCTAATATAGTTAAATAAATTAATACTGAAAACTAAAAATAAAACAATAATTATAATAAACCCCATAATAGTTTTTTTACATGTAATTTGCAGTGAGCTCTTCACAGTCTAATGATTCTACTATCATAGATAATACACATGCATACATACTTCTCCTTCTTTCCTCCTGTCTCCAGGGCAGCTGCTGCAGAGAAATGGTGTGATTTCACCTGAGTGTGTGTGATTCCTGTACAGAGCCATCAGGGCCTTTAAAGACATCACAAGTGTGTGGTTAAATGGACTATAGGCCGATGTGACGTGCAGCCCGGGCCCGACAGGTGTCTCCATATAAGCACTATTAACTCCTCTACCTGCGAACGCCTCACCGTGTGTCTGTGTCACTGCTAATAACGCCCCCAAATACAAGGAAACGCGGGGAAAGAGCCGTGAAAGCACGCGGGGGGATCATATGCATGGACGCTCTGGATCGCATGTGAGGATTGGTAATTGCACCCCTGGAGGCATCTGGCTCAAAGTGGTGGATGCCCGGCCCGCTCCTGCTCCACTCTCCGTTTCCCAACATCTCAACCTTCAGCAGAGAGCGAGAACAAGCAGAAGAGAGAGAGAGGGAGGAGGAGATGTACCGACAGTTCATTTACCCGGAACATGAGCCCGCCACGTACCAGCCCAAAGATAAGCAAAGTGAACGCTTCATGCCTGATGGAAGACAAAGGCAGCAATTTAAAAGCATCTGCATCCAACACTACCCCCCCCCCGTACCCCTCCTGTACCCCTCCCTCCTCTCCCTGTGTCCGGACTGATATTGAAACATAATCCATTGGGAGCGCAGACATGTCAGGAGAATTCTATGGAGCCTCCCCCTTCTCATTCGGGACAATTCATTCAGGACAATTTCAGGTGCACGATGTTTTATTTCAACAAGGCAGACAGTCGGCTCACAGTTTCACTTTGGTGCTGTTTAGAAAAAATAAGACACATCTACTGACATAAAAGAAAAGGGAATAAGCGACTGTACTTTTATTGCTGCTTTATAGCCCCTCCTGAAGACACCGATGCCAGTGCACGTCTTTACAAAAACTATCAGGACAAAACTTTTTCCACTTTTGAGTCTCCAGAACGGATACAGCTGCTGAGTAATTTAGATGTTGTTAGTAATGTGAGAGCATCTTGTAATTCAATGGCCCAGCATTATATAATTAAACTTAAAATTAAAGACATTATGTTATTAACGTTTATTAGTTTGATTTCTTTCTAAACAATGATTAAACACTTTATCCTCTCACACAGGGTCAAATGACAAAAATAATCATTGTTCTTTCGCTCATATTGATTCATTACAATTTTAGATTCAAGATTTAGATTTCGTATTTTGTGTTATTAAAAACAAATAATGAATGGCTTTCAATAGTTATTTCCTGAACACAATCAAGGCAGACAAAATGTTACAATCAATGCATTTAGAACTAAAATGGTCAAAATTCTTCCAATGAAGTCTGAACTCCAAATGGCATGCTTTTACTGACAGAGGACTGGCTGCAGAGCTCCCCATTAAAAAGACCCACACTGATCATTGACGACTAAAATCTGAGTAATTGCACAGCTCTACTTTCACAAAAAAGGGAGTCTCAGTAGAATATTGTGTAAAACTATATCTAAAGTTTTAACATATTCAGTCCTTATATTTTTTCTATAAATTTGAAAGAAATTTACAATACAATGTATGAGAGTTTTAAAATGTATTTGTAATATTTTTTTGTACTCAATTTACCATCAGTTTTTTTGTTTTTTTTCATGAATACTCCAAGATCTTCCTGCTCCTTCACTGAAGCATCTGATAAACAGCCTACATAAAGACAATAAATAAACTTCACTTCAGCCGTAAGTACAGCAGATTACAAGCACAAATGATCACATCTACACTTTACACTGAAACATGTTTATTTAAACCTACAATTTTACACTATCCATAACTTTATTTGATTTCACAGACTTAACTTTTTCCGCCTGATTCTCGAAGCTGGACTCATTTATCTCAACGGCTCTCAGCTCTTCTCTCACTGCGTTCCACCCTCACTGATTTTGAGTATCGCACTGAGAAGTCAAAGTAAACTTCCATCTGGCGTGCTTTACAAACACTTTGTCACAACACATATGGGTCAGGAGCTGCATCGGCACAATTATCCGTTAATGGCCAAAGTGCCAAAAACAAAAGAATACGGAATAAGTTTGTGAGACAACCGCACTCAAGCTCACAGCGAAGGCACGGCGGAGGGAGGGAGAGATAGAGCTGAAAGGAAAGACGAGAAAGCATCTTCCAACATCAGTTTTCAGCCTAATGTTAATAATTTATGTGGCTCTTGCTTTTTATTATTATTATTTATTTATTTACCACTTTCTTGTGCAGCATCGTTCGCCGGGTTTCAAAAGGCATCACGGACAGGCATGGCATCTCTCCAAAGTTTTGAGCGCACTTTCAAAAGGCTTTCTGCGCGTTTATTTATATATTTGGCCCTCCTTTACACTTGTCTTGTTGTTATTTGGCGAACGCGAACACATGAAGCTTTGATGAGAAGCAAAGTTGACATGTATTCTTCTACCCTGACCCCAAGGAAATCTAAATAAAAAGTTAAATATTGTATAGAGCCACTGAGGGCCTATTCTCACTCACGCCTCTCATTAAATCTATCCAAGTGTCAATTAAAGTCATTCATGTGCCCACCAGCAGGGGTCAGGGGTGAGGGAGAGCGCCTGTACTGGGGGCGGGAGGTGCACTTGACCATGACCCCAAAGTCAGCTTTCATTGGACCGTTTGAATAGCGCTGTTGATGTGTGTTATTGGCAGAGATGAAAAGAGAAGTCAGTCATGTTTGAAAAGATTTGTATGTTCCTCAAACCTTTGAACTCTCCAGTAGCACGTACCTGTTTTTGCTCACAACACTTTTTATCGAAACCAAAATAAGAACTAACTGAACCCACTTTGAACAGTCGGCTTTGACAAAGTTCATCTACAGTGCTATTTACATTACATATATTTTAATAGTGCCCTTTAGAAGAGAGCGGAGGTCTATCTCAATACAAATTCCACATCTTTAAATTTAGCAAATATTTAATGCATTGTAAACAACTGATAAACTGCACAGATAAGTTAGTAGACGCTTTGACGTTGTATTGGGAGTGCGTCATCACAAATAAAAAGGAATGAGGTCTTATGAAAAATGCGTGAAACTCTTTTAGCAGTGCAAATTACTGTGGCCTTTAAGCCTTCAACTGTGACACCCAAATATCTATATACTAAAAAATATATTTTGCTTATATTCAATTTTATAATTATATAAATAGCAACAATATACAGCACATACAAATTCCATTTTTCTGACTATTTCTAAAATGTTTGCCAATAGTTAATAGTTGTAATTCTTATTAAACAAAGTCTCAAGTATCTGTATCTCTGCTTATTGCTTTTTAGCCTTGTATGACTTTTGTATTTGTAGTAAATAATTTTAACTGTCTTATACCAGCTCAAATAAAAATATGAATGAATGATATATTATTGTGTTATAGGAAATAGTATTAAAATCAACTAAAATGTTTCTTAAGTGGCAAAGACAGACTAATGACAGACTTCTGCGCTCTTCTCTAATCTCTAGAGTTACCACATACGAACTCCCTGTATTTTTTCCCTGTTGTGCAATGATTCAAACACGACTCATGTCAAACAATTGTTTATTACTAATTATGGTACAAATCAATGTGACAGACTTGAAGCATTTGTTTTTAGAAATACACAAAGTGCGGCGTAACTGACCAAACAGATATTGCTCTATAGATTACAGTTTCAGTCCGTAGAAAAATGAAAACGAACCTCTGCGGGCTTCTTCAGCTTTGGTTTCGAGTAGTTTGGATGTATTGGAAATATTCTTTTTTTTTTTTTTTTTTACAAAACAACAAATGGTCCTAATATTTTTACATCACTGAAATTGCCTCGACGTAAGTATGCAAGGTAGGCCTGTGTAAACTCGGAGTGAAGATCTCAGCAGAGGATAACCACACGTAATAATAAATAAATAAATAAGCACAAAATATACAAAACAAAACAGGTCACGTTAAATAAATAAATTAAACAAATGGTGAACACTGACAATGAGCGCAACTACTGAGCTGCTGTTACCATGGTGTCAGATGACTCTCACAAGAACAGTACTGAGGTAAGCCTTGGATCAACTAACTGTACATAACATTACCATTATTTTCATTCTCTTTTTTCCCTTCTCAGATTTTAAAGATTGTCAACATCGTGAGTCTAGTTCTCTGTACAATGTGCATAACTATAGAGCTTTGGTCCAGCGTTGACGAGTTGAGCGAAAGCAAAAACTCATTTTGTGTTGTTTTTATTTAAGTGTGTTTTTGGTTTTGCAGCTTTTAAGTGAAGCCTCAGAACTGACCCTTGTACAAACAGTGGGAAAAAAGATGAATGTGAAAAAAAAGCAACTATTATTTGCTCAAATTCAAAAAAAAAATTGTAAACTTTTAAAGCTTTAGATTTTTTCACATCTAACTCAGTGTGTGTTCATACCAGAATAGAGATAACCAATGTGACAGGAAAGATGGATATTGTAGTGACACAATTTTGAATAAATTGCATCAAATTTCACCTCACTTCAAATTAAGTTCACTCTTTTCTGACATGTGACACTTATTCTCAATATATTTTTGTCATGTCTGTAAGAGACGGGCAGTTTGATGGAATATTTTGGTGAATCAAGGACAATATAACAGATATAGTGTTGCAAGTATTATGAAATGAAAAATAATTATATACAGTTTTTAAAATATGTAAACTTTGGACAATTTAAAAGCATTTAAACATCTGAAAAGAAAGTGGTCAGTGCCATCAAGCAGTAATTAAAAATAAATAATCGTTTTCAGTGGCAGTTGTACAGTTTTTTTTGGCTACCTTATGATGTATTTTTGTGGTTTTCTTCAATAGAAACATTTGTCGCACAACAAAAGTTTTTTAGTTGACCCAGAAAGTGAAAGATGTCTGAAAAAATCTCAAATAAACGTGTACAAAAAGACAAAACCGTAAAATATTTGCCAGTCTTTGAGCAGTGAATGTGTTCTTTGGCTATCAAGCTTTGGCAACAGAATGACACAGTAGCTCAGATCCAAGCTGCAGGAGACTTGACAGACACTCCTCTTCCTCCTCTTCTTCCAACAATCTCATCCCATTATCCACAAATACCTGTAGAAATGTAACTCAAACGTGTCCGCAGATGAAACCAAAAGTCAAACAACAATATTATGCAATTGTTCAACAGCAAAGGTATTCTCATCCAAAAGTAGTTCATTGGTGTGACAGATTTTTCATTTTTTTTCTCAATATTTACATACAAACAATGAAGAAAAAAGTAAGCAAGACAAAGATAAAATGTATATTCAACCTCACACATATAGCTTAGAGTTTGCCAGTACAAATGTAAAAATTTAGAGCACATTTACATTACAAAATTATTCTTAGATGCAACAGACTTTGGTAAATAGTGTTTTGATTTGGTATGATCTCTTTACTAAATCCCTTCTGGTGGGAACCAAAATTTGGGCAATAGTCTGGTCCAGACAACAGCACAGGTGGATTTGTACATATTCTCACATAGTAATCTCTTTTTTGGTTTCGCCAAGGTCATTTACATAACTGTGGTAATCACACTGCACAACATTAAGTTTTTCTTTGACAGTCCTTCAGAAAGAGTCCATCCCACGGCGTGTTGTGGCTGTAATGGCCGTTCACTTTGGGAGATCCTCTAGTGAATCGGTGAGCGTGTCCATGGGCGCGGTCGGGCCCAGCTCGGGCTGTTTTAAGCGCTTTATTGTGTTTTTTAAAGCTTGCCTCTTGTTGCAAAACCACACTCGCACCACCTCGCGGTCATAGTTCAGTTTCTCTGCGATCTCGGTCATTTCCTGACCGGACGGGTGTGTGTTCTTCTCAAAGTGGCTGTTGAGGATCTCCAAAGCCTGTGGGGTGAACGAGGTCCTCCGCTTGCGTTTTTTGGACGGTTCGCTGCCGATAAACTCTGTCAGGTTCTGCATCCCGGAGCGGTGGCGCGCTTCGGCCTCCGCCATCCAGCGCTCCAGAACGGGCTTTATCTTCTGGGCGCTTTTAGGGGTGATGTCCAACTTCTCAAACCTGGCAGGATATAAAAGGCCAGGGTTCAGTTTGCCAGTCAGACTGTTACCTATAGTGTTCTCTTGGGCTTCCTGTGGTAGGAAAAAGTGGCTTCTCAGGATGGTGTGTCTGGGGAGAGTTAAGAAAAAAAAGAATCTTACTTAGGAGCCCTGACAAAACCCAACATGGGATAAGCTCTGGAGTTTGGAGCCTCCTCCACCACAATGCTGCTGGGACCGAGACCTGAGTCAACACAAGCCCCTTTTGTTCAGACAGAAAAAGTTACTTTCTATGGAAGCATTGAATTTGCCTGGACATATTTCACTAAATAATGATCTGACCTCTATACTATGGACTCAAAACAGTCAATATCATGAGTAATATACTATTGTCAGCAACTGTAAACTTTCAAAGATTGTAGATGCCTATCTTCACAGACATTTTCTTTTTTACTTGTCTTCTAAAATTATAACAAAAGTGGCTATTGCATCATGGAATAGTACATAATAAGTTAAAATAAAGAATAAGCCAATTGTACCATTTTAAGCTTTATTGAGTTTTTGTAAAGTAAACATAAAAGGGACTTCTGTTAGGTCTTTGCACCTGGAAGTAAGGTAGGTCTCGATCCCAAACTGGCAATAATGGAGGAGAAAGCAACAACTATTTTCAAACGATTAGAAACAAAAGAAATAGTCCTAATTCATTTCTTACAGGTGAAAAAAAACACAAAATCTCAAATGCACGCAGTTAAATATGGCACCATCATTTATTAACCAAAAGCACCTGCATTATTCATCAAAATGTACATTTAATACATTTTTCAAACTTTCTTCCCTCTTCTAACAACCGCTCATTTTATAATTAATAAGAATACATTTATGCACTTATAATTCTGGCATTTTAGCAGCTCGCTCTGTCAAAGAACGGACCCACAGCTCAGTGATGTCTGGTGCACACACACTCCATTTATGCAACTTTCAAATATTTTAGTATTATCTTAATGTTCAAAGAAAAGAAAAAAAAACACACAAAACCAAAATAAATCATTTTCCGGTCCAAGTGTGACGTGCAAAGATGCTTTTAGTGGCCTGGCAGTGCTGATGGAGGGACAGAGAGAGCTTGGAGGAGTCTTAAGTCTCAGTGGAGCAAACAACGCACACCAGACATTTTTAATGGTGTGAGATGCCCATGCACGCCGTCCTACACCTCGCCTGTGCATTCTACCCTGTCGACAGGCGCCATTATTTATAACCCCATCCCGCATCTAAACAGTGGGGAGTACAGCGGGGAATACATTAGTAAATATGAAGAGTCACCAGAGACGGGACATTTCATGGATCAACAGGAGCGCGGATGCTAAAATGAGAGGAGGCTGAGTACTAGCACTAGCCTGTATCGCTCGCCTGCTCTGCCCCAGAAGCACCTAAAGCGTGGGGCTCTAAGTACCTCAGGAGGAGCCTGTTTACGTGGGCTCCATTTTAGGCTTGCATGCTCCTCCAGGCCCGCTATAACCCAGAGACCATCCTCATGCACACAAGTTATACTCTTAAATAGTCATTCAAAGTAATCTAGTTTGACATGCACGTAGGGTCATATAGGTCGACCAATATCATCAAACAGGACTGTAGTTGACACTTGAAATCATGCCCAGATAGATTTTTTTCTCATACTTGTCTAATGCAGATCATTTTTTGTAAGTTTTAGAATTTTGTAGTACTTTCATGTAACGATTTGATGGAAATGATCAAAATCTATCTTGAATATCGGTGAATCAGCTCTTCAAAACATATGGACCTCTACTCTAAACGATAAGTGAAGTTACAAATACTGAAAGAAAAAGAATGAAACTTGTGTGTACCTTTTAGTAGCTAATTTTGGGATCATATCAGAGTATGAAAGCAGCTGTGATAAACCTCTGCACTTTCCCATTTTGGAACTGTTTCTCCATGACATCTGGCATAGTGAAAACATTTTAAAAGCACTTTGTTGCACAGGGCAAATCCTCACATAGTGCTTGTGTGGATAGGGACGGAGGATCACGGGAGGGTCAATGGTCAGAAGTGTGTTTTTAATAGTTTGTAGGCGTCAGTGGTCAATGCCAAACACACATGTCAAGGATGTGAGGTGTGCCGCAGTAATGGATTTGGGTTTACCAGCACGAAAATCATTCAATTTTATCAAATATCACAAACTGTGATTTTAAAGGGGAGTGAACATTTAAAATGAGGCCGAATGTGTCAACATTATCTATAGTGAATTTTTTTCCATTTGGAGTTTTGAGGTGTTGATTTTTTTGCAATGACCAATAAACTTTTGAGGCCGGTATATTCATTTTAATAATTTTCTAATTGAGTGATAATACATTTAGACAGTATGTACTGTGACACTTTGTGTAGTGCCCTTTTCACAGTAGAATGTTCAAATAAAAAGTCAATTATTAAATAAAGTATGTACTTTAGACAGATGGCAAGCCCAAATATTGGCCCTGCTGGAACTTTAGCGTAGATATGCAAAAAAGTGAAAATATCCAAGATACTGGCCTATTTCTAAAAGTAAAACCAAAAACCTACAGTGTTGCTCAGTTTGAAACCATAGTTGTTAAACATTTTAAAAATAAATTCAAATTTAAACACAAATGTATAGTATATCTAGTATAAACCTCAAAATAGTACTGTAATGTTACACTATTTAATGTCAAATTGCAGATCTTTGTATAACATTTAGTGGCCTATGTTTGCACTTTCATCAGCACTGGTTCTCTGTCACATCAGACTTAATACCTGTTAAATGAACACACAACTGTCCGTTATTTGAATCCATTACTCCTAACTAACTCCTAACAATTGAATTGCCCACACTGCCTTACATGTACCTAACATTGGCCCAGCCTGTTTGCTAATCTAATGTAGTGTCTCAAGTGGACCCATAGTGAGCAATGAGAGGAGACGTGATCGAGACATCTGTCAGTGCTTGTTCCCTGTCTGTGCTGGGACTGGCCCCTGGAGCCACTGTCCCCAAAGTCTACCACATCTATGATGATGTTCACTAAACCCAAACATGTGAGTTCTCCCTACTTAAACCATCACCATGTCATGTCCTATGTCATACAAAAAAAAAAAGTCTCCTCTAACAAGCAGCCCAGTGTTTATTTTTGAAGCTAATGGCTTTTAATGTTGGTTATAAATATTTGAATTATGCCTGCTTTTAAATATTTCATGTGTGATTTGGAGATTTGAAGCATTAGTAGTAGTAGGCAGTTTGGGGCCTGCGCAGCTTCACATTTTATCCGCTACTTGATGTTGATGTGATGAAATTTTTAAGAGACTGGCGGCACTGTCACATAAGCAGTGCAGGTCGTCAGTACATTTCATATACACATTAGGGTTAAAATTAAAAGCAAGAATTTGACTGAAAAGTTTAACTAAAGCAACCAGGCCTAAACTGTTCTTAAAGGTAAAATTTAAAGGTAGAGTTTAATGTGAGACTGAATTCAGGAAATGAATAATAACTGTTATCTATACAACCTATACAGTTGTTGTTTAGGTTGGACATTTTGCTGGAGAGAGGGTGTCAATATTTCTGTATGGGGGATTAACTATATGTGAAAGAAATATTCACCAGGTCCTTTTAGTTCATTCACAAATGAAAGTAATCATTTATACTGTATTAGGAAAGTGACAAGTTCCACGACTACAACGTAATGTATAACATGTAGTACGAATTATAACCATGCCTGCCGTCCAGACCAATATGTGAATGAATGCAAATACCACCATGTAATGTATTATATTACAAGAATGAATTATAAACATTATTTTAAAAATTATTTTAAAATATTGAATTATTTGATTCAGTGTGAAGCTCCATTTGGTACATGGTTTATTCGTTTAGAATCATTTTCTCATTTCAATTATTAATTCAGTGCAAATTCATATCTAATTTAAAACTAACCAAATGTACTTTAAGAAACAACAAAGTATAACATCTTTCAGTCAGTACATTTGCCATGGTATTATTCAGAATGGGCCTACATCTCTTATGCACTTACACATTGAGCAGATGTAGAGAATGAAGCACTGGGACATGATATGGGTCACTAGTTCTGATCCGAAGGGTACATTTGTCTTATTTGGCGTCTTTAAGTGAAGTGTTATTCAAGTGGAAAAACAGGAAGGATAAAATGCTGATTGTCTGATTATCTCATGAATATATAATGCTCCATTTAGGGCTAAACTGTCCTCGCGGCTGTCATAAAACATGTGAATCTTATTAGCAGATCATCTCTGTGAGCGTTCTCAGGCTCAGGCGCAGCCAGCCTTAGTAATTATTAAATGCTTTAAGTGCTTCATGTAATACTCGTGTATGTATTTTGCATAAGTAACAGGCGGCTGTCATGTCCAATGAGAGAGGGAAGAGGCAATGAGCACAGGGAGACACGGAGGCCTCGCTTTATTTAAGACCGTGTTTATCAATTAGAGTAAATGTTTTGATCACGTAATAAAATAATGTACATAAAATTATCTGTTAAATAAATAGGAAATATGCACTATGCATTTTAATCAACTTTTTTTTTTTTTTTTATCAGCAAGTGAATTAGGGGGAGAAGAGGAGGTTTGATATCACTTCAGTGATAAATATATGTTATATTATGGTTTCTTTTAAGCAGGTTGAAATAAATGGTCCAACTTATTTAATACTTTTATCACACATAGAAAATCATCATCACCACCACCAGGGCACCATCAGGGCAGTTGCAAACCTCTCTGCATCTTTTATGTATTTAAGTCCAGACATCTAGGAACTGGCGAAACACTAAAGTAAAATGTGGATTAACTATCCAGTGAGCCAGGGGGCCCAAGTGTGCACTTGTGACATTTTTTTGGGTGGCTACACATCTGGACCAGGGACTACCAGTGAAAATAAACCTAACCCAGTGAATACATGGATACATTGTTGTTTAAGAAAGGAGAGTAACAACATACCACAGTAGTACTTACGTATAGGTAAATTGATTTAAGTTAACACTATCACATTTGGAAAAGCACTTATGCTGTGGTTTTGAAGATCATTATTTCTTCTTTATGGACACTTAAATGATTTAATGATGTTGATTTTATAAAACTGTTAAGAATATGCACCAGACTGTTCACTGAATGTGGTTCTCTTTGACAGAAACAGGACAAATCACCATATAAGTGCATATGACAGGTTAGACTGCTCATTACACAAAAACAAAACAAGATTAACCAAATAATTTTTAAGATGGTACTAGATCTTGCTAGGTTTTCCTAGTTTGTCAATTGTGGTAAAATTTGTTAACATTAGATTTTTATTAAATATTGAAATTTAATAGCATGAGATTGACAACAGATTACAGTAATTCCATAAGGGGTTAAATTGAACTAATAAAATATATGACGCCTTTATTTTTTTAAACAATGTTTAAATGTGTTCCTTGTGCATAAATTGTCCATGCACTTTGAATTGAATTGTGTGTCTCTGAGACATTTGGTCAGTTCCTGTTTAGAACTCAGCTCTGCCTCTTCACTAATGTAAAACTATCGTAAATAGTCATCACAGGTTCCCCTCAAATGAACTAACAATTATAAATACATGAAAACCTGTCATATGCACTTGTAAAACGTGTGCTTTAAGGTCTGGAGCTTACCTGCATATGGCGGACTGGCTGTAGGCGGGCCCCTCTGCGGCACTCAGAGCCTGGCCCACCTGCGTCTGCGTCAGCCCTAGTGACAGGCGGCGGATCTTGAATGCTTTGGCGAACTCTCGGATCTCCTCCAGGTTGACCCCGTCCACCTCACTGGGGGCGGTCTGTGGGTCTGCAACACCAAACACACACGTCTTACTTCATTAGCCCCATGCTCCCAGAGTACAGCTGCATTTAGCACAGAGAAAAGCACCCTGACGCACGGCTGTATGCTCATGATCATCTTCAAACTGCTCTCAGCTAACAGCTCGAGCCGCGGTCACAACTTATTATCCCAAAGTGCCCTCCCGCGGTCAACTCCATATATTTGCGCGGCGCTTTGAAGAATAAATTCAGCCGAGGAGTGAATAGAGGAATGCCATGTTTCTGAGGAGCCAGAGAGGATCTGTAATCTCTGATACAAAAGCACACACAGGACTGGTTAATGCCACTGGTAAAGAGAGGGAGCCTGCCTCTTGTATACTGCCTTCTGACCTCCTCTGCGTTAATACACATATATAAAGCATGTAAACATTAAAAGACATTATTTCAAATATGTGACCCAAAGCCAGCACTTCCATTTCACTCTGAATGTGCTGCAGACTTAGCCACAGAACAGGACACACAAAAGCAGCTCTGTTTGTGAATCCACACATCTGACAAATAGCAGCATTTTGAAGAATTTCTCGGCTAATAAAAAGTGATTTCACATTGTACATCAATGTCAGGTGCCCTGGCATCCTGCTTACTAAAGCAAAGTTTGTGCCTCTGAATTATTCATCTTGGTCATTATCAATGAATTATTAAAGGAATCCTCCAAGCGTATTTAAGCAGAAATCTATGGGCTGCCATCTCCTTGCAGCTCATAAGTGATGTGTAGCGTATGCAGCGGGCCGGACGTGTGAACGCTGTGACCGGGCCACAGTAAATGGGAGGGAGCAGCACATCAGCTCCACACTGATGAGCATCACTTCATCACTCCCAGAGGACTGTGTTTACTTAGAGGGTCCCTCTGCTAATGCTGTCCGCTGGACCACACTGTGTCTGCGCCCATCTGGGACTGTCTCTGCATCTGATTTAATCCTGTCCAAGGTACTTTTCAATAATGAATAACAACACTTTTACAACAACCTAACTATACGGGCCAGTTAAAAATGCACACCTATAATAGCCTTAACATGCTAATCACTCTCAATCAGCCTGTAAGCACAGTAAATTAAACAGCCAATTTGCAATACTCAAATTACAGCCTGTTATCTATGTGATGATGCCTGAGTGCACACAATTCATCTGTCTGGAACTTGTTTATAACTGGCTTTTCTTAGGCAAGCCAGTGACATGGCACCTTCTGTTAAAACAAATTTGGACTAGCATTTCAAAACGTCTGTCCCTAACCCTAATGTTTCAACCATAACCTAAATGCACTTATTTTGGATAAAAGATTAGATTGTATTTTTTATACAAAGACATTATCACATCTCAATAAACAAGAGGACACCCGAGTTACATGAAACTTTTCTGAGACACTTTTACCGGCATAAAGTCCTTGCTGTGGGTTGTAATTTAAGTGAAGGACAGTGTCACTTTAAAACAGGATTTACGCTTGGCCAAACTTTCTGCAGATATAAATCCAATACAATAGAATAAGTGTAAACTGCCACGCTCCCCTCGGATTGACATTTTCCATCTGATTACTGTAAATACCAGTAAGGGACATTGTGCGTTTTAATAGGTTTGTGCTGTTTGTCTGTGGCTGACAGCGACATTTCATCTTGTCTCTCTGTCAGGGGATTGGACTTGGCGTATGTATGCAGTAAGTGAAACTGAGAGGAAGCGATATGCACCCGTACTCAGCATATAGCACTAATTCTATTTACGCCGATGATTCTGTGCAGGCCAAAAACAGTTTATGAGAGATTTTTCCCAGCTACAAGTAAACATGGACTAAACACAACGTATACAACAAGTTGATCAATTGCGACTTGTGTTTTTGATTAAATTCTGTGGCTTCAGAGCTGCCTTTAAAATGAGTTTATGTGAGTTTAGGGGAATCGACTGTGACAAATGAAATTTATCAGAATAAAACATTTTTTTAAAGACTGAGGCTGTATGCTGACAGGCGGCAGCCCAGTGATTTATATGGGCCTGCCAATGTCCAGACTGTCCAATGAATGAAGCTTATGTTCATTACATAGAGCACATGCCACATTGGATCAGCTAATAAAGAGAAGAATGGATGGTCAGGACCACGAGTGAATGTGGGAGAGATCAGGGAAAGAAGCTAGGGTCAACAGCATGAAATTTAATCTCAGCTGTTCATGGCCAATCTTCATATATAACGATTAACAATTGGCTTGTCATTGGGAAGGAATTAATAAAAATACTTTTTTTTAAACTGTACTTCAAGTTTGTAGTACTAAAAACTTGCTCAAATAATAATATATGTACTTGCCACATGTATTATTGATTAATTATGTGTAGCTATGAAACAGATTGTCCCCTTGTGCTCTGAAAAATACTGCATTGTTAATAACTGATAATATTGATAATATTGCATTGAATGTGACGTTGCTTAAACTCAGGTAAACACATAGAAAGCTAACAGAAACTTTTTTCACTGCTATCATCTTAATAACTCTCACTACTGGACTCATTGGGTGTTCAAAAATCTGTATATCAAAAGACTACTACTACCCCTGAGGAAGTAGATGATATAAATTAGGCATATTTCCATTTTGGCTGTTATCTCTAAAACCTTTGATAGTTATCGGCTAGCAAAATCAAAACACCTCTAGTGTCTTTTGCAAATGCCAAATATCTTCACAGTAAACCAGAGCGGCATGAGGGAGCGCTCATCCCAGCACCCGCCTGCTCTCTGCTCTGTGTATCTGTGGCCATGTTGTGTTCACTTACTGCTGACCAGCTGTCCCACGCTGAGAGCCGAGGAGGCGGAGGAGGAGGTGGAGGAGGAAGAGGAGGCCTGGTGGAGGGGGCTCTGTCTGTGCATGTGCATCAAGCTGGGCTGCGAAGTCACGGGGCCCGGCTGACCCTGCGGAGCCTGGGGCAACTGGGCACAAAGACAAACCACCGGACATTACAGACACAGTAAATGACGCTACTCCCTCCTCACATCGCCATTTAGTTTAATTGTGGCCCAGCGGTCGTTAAATCTAATCAACAATCAAGAGCTATTAAATTAGATGCTTAACCAGGGGCTATAATGAGATTGCACAGATAATACATGTTAATTAACGGCTGCAGTGTGAGGATTGACAGCAGAATATAGTGCCAGCCTAATAGACTAACAGTGAGCGGGAGATAGGGAGTTTAGCTGGGCTCCCTGTCTCTCAGTCATGAAATGTTAAAGCGCATGACAATTAAGACTCGTCACTCCCCACCACAGCTAATAATGACAGCCTGAAACGGGAATAAAAACATGTGGACACAGCAGTATATGTATCACACCTCACTCACAATCCACTAACCGTGAGGGCGGAGGAAAGACAATGTATTTTCATGTTTTATGCACATTTGAAATGCTTTTACAAGATCAAGATGGTGCGTCTCTACACTTTTAAAGCTGTCGGCGGAGCTAGGGCGGTTCGTCTCCCTTCCCCTCCTTTTGCTATTAATTATTTTCTGGGTGGCATGTGTTTGTTTGGATGGTGGGGGGGTGTCAACTGCGATGCGCACACTGTCAGCGCAGTTGACAGGCTCCGAGAATTATTTAGCTTCACTGGAAATATTCTACACTGCACACTCTGACAACCGTAAATTATGCCTGTGGAACCGCGCCGTACACGGGGGCTTTGAAGTGGAGACAAAAGCATAAACAGTATTACAAATGCATTAATTCATTCAAGAGGATGATCTGGTGTTTCGCAGGGCAGCAATTAGGTGTCCATCTTGGGCGAGTTCATCCGTACCGCACTGTATGGGCCTTCATTGTGAACTTTTACCCTATAATTCTCCCTGACATCACCATTATCCAGTCAATAATGTTTTCATCGTACATGCATCTAGTGCCAAGCCCATAAACACAAATGCAGAGAAGCCTAAACTGTTTGTAGAAAATGACCTACTCCGCTGTATCCTTTATAACCAAACAAAATACTTGTGGTGGAGGTCAGGAAGGACGGATGTACCTAAGGCGTGATTGAGGAGGGAGAGGGGCAGGGGCGTGCGGAGAAGGGGAGAAGTGTCTGAGTTTAAGAAGTGATGAAAAGTGTTGTTTTGGGCTCTACAGGGGCGCAGCAGCAACCTCTTTGAGTCTGTGCCTGAAATGTTGGCTGACAAGTGCCTCCCAGACACTCACATGGGGAACAATTGAGCTAAAAGAAACCATTTTGTGAAAGGAATGATGCAAATGAGTGTTATAAATGTCAAATGGGAAAATCTACACAAGTGTGACGTGCCTCTTGTGAATAAAGAGTCCACTAGGTGCTGCTCATTCAACAGTTAGAGTGGAGTTCATTAGGTCATGTGTTTAGAGCTAGTGTGTGCTGGTGTGGACATCAGTGTACAGTACCTGCTGTCCGGGCTTGATTGGTGACAGCGTGATTCCCTGGGTGTTGATGACAGGCAGGATCTGATTGCCGATCACCGTGGCGATGATCTGGCCTTGAGCGTTGGTCAGAAGCTGAGGTGTAATTGGCTGAACCTGCAGTGCTGGGTTGCCACCCCCTGATTGGCTGGAGGGCCCTGCAGAGTTGGGAATCAGTGGGATTGTTCCAATTATCTACAAAGGGGGTAGAAAAGAGACAAAATCAGCTGGGCGGTTTTAAAAGGCGCAGAGAACAGAGGAGGTGAGCGCTACTGGAGGTATCAGTCTTAATGATCCCTGCCGCTGTGAGCCTTTTTCTGAGGTTACTCGGAGTGATCAGAAACAAACCACAAGCCTAGATCTATTATAAGAACCACTGTGCTACCATGTCTGCTAGTGGCCATTTAGGGAACTATAGTCAAATATCTTGAATCCGGCCTGCATAGACACCAGAGCAAGGTAGGCTAGAAAAAATGTAAGAATATTAAAGATGTGCAGGTATTTAAGTGAGTGGTGCATCTGCCACTGATCCATGATAGTAGTGCATGTTTTTAATTTGGTTTAAGTGGTAAATAGTTCATCAGAACAATTGCCAGTGAAGCAGTCTGTGTGATTTAGAGACACAAAGATGCACAAGTGTCTGGTGATGATCTGTCACTGTGGTGGTCTGAGGCTGGAGCCAGTGGAGCCAGTGCAGACTGCTGGGAGCACACTGCAAAGGTCAGCACTGAATACCTGTGTGTGTGATGGTGCACACCACTGACTGTATTATCCATCACAGCCCAGTGTGAGTGTGTGAGAGTGTGCCTAAGTGTCTTTGTCTGTCTCTGGGAGGCCGAGTGAGACCCCCATTTCACCCTCACACAGCCAGAAAGGACCAAGTGGGAAGAAGGAGCACAAAAAGAAACAATAAGTGGAGAAAAGGGAGCATCAGAGAGTGAGACAGGCCTGGTCTCTAACAAGTGTGAGGGTCCCAGGGGTACTCGAGGCCTACTGCCCCTCCGCCTGGCTCCTCTCCTCTGTGGCTGTAATCAGGAAGGGCAGATCAAAGGGGGCGGCAGAGTGTCACTGCAGCGTTTTAGCTCTCAGAGCAGCCAGAGTGTGGCCAAGAGTGGCGCTTTAGGGGGGACTTAGCGCCTCTTCACCATGATGAAGGTTAATGTCATCTGGGGACTGGTCCTGGGCTCCTCTCCCACCCCCTGCTGACAGTGTGCCTCTACCAAGCCTCATTACACCACAGAGCGCTGCACGCAGAGCACGCCCATTCTTCTAAATTCTCTGCTTTAGCAGCAAGCCAAAGGCTACTCTGAGAAAATTGCTCTTTGACTGCCTTTGAATATCTGTCTTTATGCTGCAGTCACAATCTCTACACTTGGACCCAATTATGAAATCAAATTACTTACAAACAAGTCTCTCTCCCTCCCCTCTGCTCCTCTTGACATAATAGGGAGGGATCAGTGAGGGAAAGGTGGGCCGGTGCTCTGTAATTCATCCGTGCTACGGCTCATTTGCCTACGTTGCTTCGCATTAGGGACGAGATAATTTATCTCCCTCTCGGCGCGGCTGTACTGCTCCTGCCACTTAGCATATTTTATTGCCCTGTCTGACGCCTGTGTCTCCAGAGCCCTGCACATCGCGCTTTGCATGCCACAGTGGCAGGGAACTTGTTCCGCTCAATTATTCATCATCATTGGACTAAGTGGTTGTTCTATAAGCATAATAAAGGAGCAGGCAACTGACAGCTCCCCTCTCATCTCTGTCCCATGATGCAATGGGCTCTCCAGCTACATTTCTCCCGCAACATGTTTCATAGTTCCACTGTAGTGCAAACTTTGGTTCAGAAAATCTTATACAGACAAAGGAATTAGTACCACAAGTATTGATATTGTGTAGTGATGTTTAGGCAATTTACAAAGCAACAACAATATGTACTTTTTTTTTTTTCTTTGAGCCTATGCCCTCTCACTAAGTTAACCTCCCTCCATAACATGTGCTTCTTCCTTCACGCAGCAGAACTCATTACGATTATGCCGTACTTGTTTTTCCAGAAATGTCATCTCATCCCTTCAGCCTGTGCCAATCTATGTCTTTAGCCATGGTCGCCGGACCATATCTGCGCCTGTTTTCTCTCCATCACTGTGGAAGTATGTGTGGACCCTGGAGGGACCCTGCCTGGGAGGCAAACGTGTATAGTCCAAAACATATCACACACTACGTGGCAACTTCTAAATGAAAACAGTAAAATGTATCGTTCTTTATGGCACTATTTTAAGTATGTTAAAGGTTAACAAAGTTGGTTTATTTGGAAGATCAAATTTTGTAAACGGTCAAATTTTTGAAACATGTTTCATTAAGAGAATGCAGATTGCTTTTAAGACAATCTATCCAGGGTCTGTCCACGAACAGTAGTTAATTTTGTAAATGACACATTTAATTTGACATATTTAGGCTTGAGGCTGCAATAGCAATAGCTTGGCTTGGACTGTGCTTCTATTTGTTTGAGTATCATTTGTATCTGCACAGTCCCGTACATTACCTTGCCTTACTTTGCCTACAGTAGTCTGCATTAAGCCAGCCCCTGGAGACTTTTCCTTATGAGAAGTTGGTGTGTAAAGTGGATAGATGGCCTGCCGCCACAAACACAGAGCCCAGGGGGTTAGCAGACACGGCCCGATGCCCCAGAGACGGCACACGTGGGATCTGTGCAGGTACAAATCATCTCCAGAGCATCTACATCTTTCAGGAAATCCAGAGCATTTCACGGAACAGCCGGTAATGACCCCCTTTCAAGCCCAGTTTGGTGTCCAACTTAAAAGAAATTTAGAAAAGAGTTACCAACAGTGGCCTTAACAAAAACAGTAAAAAACTGCAGAGGGAGAATGACTGAACAATATTCTGCTTTCATCCACAACTTTAATCACTGTTGTAGCAGTCGTGTGGATAAAGGGGCCTCATTGATTCTCCTTGGAGAATAAAAAGGCTGGGGCCAATATCATTAAGGTTTAAAAACATATTGAGCTCCTGATGTCCATCAAAGCTGGCACTTCTCAAGGTCCCAGAGCTCTCACTTATGAGAGGGTCTTTGAGGAGAACAGTAGAGGAAATTAGGAGGTTAAACACAGTGTATCACATTTTAACTTTAAGGAAAGGTGACTTTTAATCCTGCACAGCATTGGTGATAGAGATAGCCAGCTGCATTATAATTAAAGAGAATAAAAATCATAAAACAAAAGGCAGCAGAGTTTTGACACTGATTTACAGTGGAGGCCTGTGCCTACTGAACCTGCGGCCTTGTTTGAGCCTTAGTAATAGCCTGTATAATGTAGTCTGCAGAGGGAGGGGCGGGGGTAGGACCCTCTGAAAGAGGAGGGCATGTTTCCCCTGAATAATGCTGAGGAATAATGAGATGGGGAGCAAAGGCTGTAGCCCAGGGCTTTGACCATCTCTGTGACCTGATTATGTCAGGGAGTGTCAGCCGCCAAGACACAACAAAAGCACAGAGCAACCATCAAGTCCACACCACAGTGATCTGTCCCCATGCTGCAGGCAGCACGGGCCAGGGGAGGCCATACTGTATCATTAGGAGCATTTAGCATCAAGGCTCTACTACATTTACCTACAAGCCCCACTGCTGTTATTGGAAGTGAACACCCACCAAGCACTTGTCTAGTCCATACTACATATGTGATAGTGCACTCTATTGTATTAGTGTGTATTCTTTACTATTTGTGTTCTGTGGACTGTCTGTGTGTTAAAGATGAAACTGGGGTTAAGGTATATAACAGAGAGTGGCATGAAAGGGCACATTGTCCACACAATTTTCCTTTAATATGTGCTGTGTGCACCTACGATAAGATGATTCATTAGATAGGGCTCCACAATGACAAGCATCATCGTTCAAGCCTCTGGCTACTGATGGAACAATTCTGCAGCCACCCTGTAAATATGACAAGGTCAGCGTTTTACTGCGACAGCCGCATGCGGATAAGAGAAACAAGGCCTTTGTTTAGTCCCAAAAAGCTTAATATATGGTTGCACTCTTTCTACATTGTAGACAAACAGCTTTAAGTCCCACCACTGGAAATCTATCACAAATACTATACTGCCCTCTCAATTGGCCATTGTTTATGATGGAGTGTGTGAGAGTTAGAGGCTGGTTACTGTGGAAACCATGGTCAGTAATATTTAATTAGGTCCTGTTCCAGAGAGAGACACCCACCTGTCCTTGTGCATTGGTCACCAGCTGTCCCGTGGCTCCTTGTAGGTTTGACAGGGTGTTCCCAAACACCTGGGAGCCCATGGAGCCCATGGAGCCCATCGCTGCGGCTGCTGCCATTGCCGCCTGACTGGCCAGAGGGTTGAGCTGCTGCACAGAGACATTAAGAAGCACACATGAGTTTACACAGCAAAATGCAAATGTAGACAACAACAGCTCCATGTGAGGGCTCCACACTTTGTTCTGTGCCGCTAAGACCAGGAGAGGCTAACTGTGCCAGGGCTGTGTAGTCCAGTGGTGAGGGCTGAACAGTCCATCATACAGTTCCCACAGGTCTGTGCTCTGGACCCAGTGGGAGGCAGTGGGGTGGGGAGGAGCAGTGAGAACGGGAGGGCGGCTGTGAATAAGTGGCCATTTTACCACTCTAAGTGCTTCCTCTGGCCCCAGGGCTCCCCACGGGCCCAGCCTAGGCTGTCTACCAGCGGCAATGACCCGGCTCTGTGCCGCACGTACAATGGAGCCATGCAGAGGCCCATGCATCACTGTATCGTCAACTACTTCAATAAGCTTCGACTAAGACTTTCCCTGTGTCATATGCACACTGTACTTTTAAAAAGAGGGGTTCAAATAACCATCCTTGGTCCTGCTGTAATGGACTCATCTGGGCTGGCCTGTGCCGGCAAAAAGGAGCTCATGCTAAAGAGAGCTTGAAGAGCTGTGCACACTGTGGATTACCCATATAAATCAAGCTAACAACTTATTAGAAGGCTGAAAATGCACTGCTGATTTAGTTGTGCAGCAGAGCAAAGTCTTATTAGGTTGAGTAAGTAGATCAAAGACCAACAAGAGATAGGAGACCTCCCAATTACTCAACAGAATAGAGAAATCATAGAAACATGCTTTGTAAACAGACTGCTCTCCACAGCAGCAAATATGACAGTCACTGTATGTAAAACGCTTTGTAAGAGTTGTGCTCAAACTAACTTTTCCACAGCCTATGGTCTACAGGGGATTCAGTTTTGTTCATCTGAGATCATTCAGTTGCCATACATCTTTTATCTCTCCCATCCACCATATATTATTACACTTTCTCAAATCAAATGATGAAAAAATGCCACTGAGCGATCAATACTTTTTCATTGACAGTAAAGGTTAAGCACATTAAGAATGACACTGCATTTGTCTTATGAAATCATATTTCATGTTGGTGGCCTCAAATTGGCCGTGATTGATATTGCCTCTCCTCGTCTGAAAGTCATCCAGTTTTTCCTCCATAATCGCAGGATTGTCTTTTATATGTCCAGTGGATGTCCTTTGAAAACCTGTGCAACACCACCATGAAACCTACAACGCTGAACCTTTACAGAACAAAGACGAAAAACAAACTACAGAGGAATTCAGGAGGGTGAAAACAGATCAAAATATTGCTCATAGGATTTGTAATCATTATTATTTTTCTTATAATATATTGAACATTATTATTATAGACTTGCAATGCCAACAATATTTAATTTGAGTGTAGGTACTGTAAATATATACGTAACTACCTTCAGGTTGTTCTTTTGTAAATTCAGTTGAAAATATGGCATAAGTGTAATGTGTAAAGGTGTACAGTGTTTCTTAAGTTGATGTGGCATAAACATGGTTAAAACATGGCTCTGTAGGGCCACAGAAACAGTCCCCACAGACAGCTAAACTTAACCAAACAAAGACTACACATCCGCACCGATAACATGAGCCGCTCGGGCTCACACAGCACACACTCACAGCGTGCCATCCTGTGATTCATTTGAAATATGATGTTTTCTCTGATGATAGCCCTCACAGATGCCATGTTATTGTGCTAAAACTAGGTGCAAAGAGAAGCCGCTTTATTGGAGCATTGAGTATTATGGGCTGGGGAGAGAGCAGAGCCGGGAATAAGGCTGTTCACCGCCTAAACAGGTGATTTTCCGCCACGGTGACTCCTCTCAACACCTCGGCGGGAGGCACAAATGACAGGCCTGGGCGAGCGCTTCTCCTGATTGCATGTGTTGTGGAGATAAACAGTGATCTTCCAGTTTGCTGTGCCTGCATGTTAACCAACACATTTGATTTGTCTCATTGTCCATAAAAGGGTCAACTGAGAACTCCCCAAGGTACTGATCTACTCCTCACTATGGCATGTTAGAGGCAAGCTTGTTTACTGAAGTTATTGTGCATTGTGATGATTTTTGTTCTGATCCATCATTGCTGATTGATGTATTTGTTAGATTGTTAGCTATACTGGCTTTTCTTTTTATCTTGAGGCAAAGGAGTTATTACTGCACATTACTCCACCAAATTATAAAGGTGCACAATGTAATATTTCTGGTGTAGAATCCATGCCTTGCTTGTCGTTGACTATTCTTTTTTTTTTTTTTTTTTTTTTTTTTTGACCAAAAATATCTTTCAATTCAGTTAATGCCATACTGTGAAACATTCAAGGCAAAGAAATAAGATGGAAAACAGGTGGCAGGCTCTCCACCAAAAAAGTTACATAGTGCACCAGACATACAAAAGTAACTATTGAAATGCACACAAGACCCTGTTCTATCTCAGGTTAACACAGCTAAACATTCAGGAATACACCAGGATCAACCCATTCAAACTAAATACCAGCAAATTGTTACAAATGCAACTTTGTCCAAAGCGAATGAGGGTGAGCGAGTTTAAACTGCTCCAGACCGTCTGTGGCCTCCTGGACCACGAGGGTCACCTGGTGCAGCAACCCGTGTAATCTCCAAAATAGAGGGGAAAATAGTGTCCCCACAAAGCGTGCACGGACCCCAGGAATATAAAGAACTGTCTGACACAAACCCAGCCACAGTGTCTTTTCTGCGCGGCCGTTTTGAACCTAATTGCTTTTTCTGGACGATGCAGAACAAAAAGAATATGAAAAGAGAAACAAAAGATGAGCATACAAAGTGGAGCAGACACCAAAGCAGGCACATCTGTTTGGGTACCACTTCAGCTAAGTGTAAAACTTACTTCTCGTGGATAGAATTTGTAAATGTTATTTTTAAATCTGACCACTGCAGAGAAGAGATTTTAGAAGAGATTTAAAAATGTGGAAATTTCTGTTTTAGGTTTTAGGTTAGGTTAGTTTTTTCATTTACAAGATATTTTACAAGGCAGAAGGATTTTCCCCATGTATCTGAGCAAAATTTGTCTTGTCCCAGTACAGATATGTTGTATAAGCAGCCCTTGAGTCAGAATAAGTCTGCTATGTATTGTCTGCATCTTATTATAAAATGTTTTACTGTCCACAAGAATCAGGCAGTGCACAGTTAGCATGCAAGTTTTAGCTTCACAATGATGGCAAATAAAGCACTCATGAACTCATTGCAGTGAATAATAGGGATGCTCAGCAAGCTAAGATAAGTGAGGAATAACTTTAAGTACATCGTCTTTAACATATTAGCTACCTACAAAACACACACACACAAAAACACTGCAGAATATTTTTCATTCTATCTATAAGGGCAGGTTCACCAACAATGTAACTTGATTTATATTAGAGATGTATTTTGAACAAGCAGTGGTTGACTTGAATCATGTACTTGTAGAGCCCACCTCCCTGTCTCCTCCCTGCTCTTCTCCCTCTCCGGTCTGAACCTAATCAGCTGTGACATGAGACAACACGCTCTGTGTCTGTCAGGACACTGCAAGTCTTCTGTTGACACTCCTCTGCTGACTCCCCGCCTCTTTTCAATACAAAAAAATCATAAACTCCTAAAACAACAAGCTCTCTTCACATCGCCAGAGCTCATGTACATCAAAATGCCATTAGGATGTCCCAAACACCTCTGGTTGGACCTCTGCACTGGGAGACCTCAAAGTGCAGGCTACAGCTCACCACTGGGCCTCTGCTGCAGCCACTGTGAAAAATAAAGCCTCACAAAGTGTCACAGAGGAGGCAAAGTATTAGGAAGAGAAAGACAGATGGAACAAGCAGCGGAGAACATGTGACAAAATATAATAGGGGTGTGTCTGGAATGGTGGGGTGTTGGAATTCAGGGAGTCACTACAGGTGAATAGGGAAAAAAGCTTAAAATGTGTAGATCTCAATATGAAACTTTTCTTTTTTTGCACATTTTGGATAATTTTAATTTGTATGAAAATAGGAAGGGATGGGATAAGACAAAATTTCGACAAGACCAGATAAGAGAAGACAAGATTTTAACATAATTCTGGATATATGAATTGTGTGATTCTGTTTCAAATTTTTACCTAGTTCATCAGTTTTATTTTATATTTTTGTTGTTATTCCATTATTTCTTTTTTGGAACTATAAGAGATGTAACTTCAACACATAACCTGTTTTGTCCAATACACTCACAAAATCATTATCATCACGTGTGCATAATTTTGTCTTGTGAGATCTCGCACCACAAGATTTGTTCCAATTTTGACATTTTGGACCTTCTATGTAGTACTGAGTAAACTAGATTATTTTTTCTAACATACAGATGTAATATGAAAAAATTCTGTTTGGTTTTGGGAGATAAATCCTCAAAAAACTGAGTAAAATAAAAATAGAAGTGCATTTTGAGAAAACAACTCAAGTTTAAGTTTGTACATTCATGAGCTATCTTTTGGTTTAGATTTCTTTGTTTAAGTGTATATTAAGAGAGCTGATTGACCCACACCTGAAAACTCTGAAAAAGCTGCAGTGCCTCTCCTTAAGACAGAGCTGGGATAGTAATGAAGGTTGAGGAGGTGCAGACGTTAATGGAGTGATGTCATATGAAACTGCGGCTAGTTAGCGGAGGAGGTTCGCCTGATCAAATAAAATGCATTAAGTCCAGGAAATGGATCTTGTAGAAATGGCCATATCTAATGAGGCGAAATGCAAATGAAGGAGGGAAAGAGTCGTGAAAACGTTTAAACTCCCGATAAAGGCATGATGGAGTGCCGGACAGTGGCCGTCAATCTCTACACTCATTCCCTTTATGTGGAATTAACAGCAGCTCTAATCATTACATAAAATCTGCTCCGGCCCATTTGTTGATAATTGTGGAGCTTCAGAGTGGGCTCTTTGTCATCAATCACTGCAGCACTAAATTTCCTCTGGTTAGAGAACACAGAGTAAAAATATAAGTTACACCAGAATCCTCTTTCCTCCACAG